AAAAAAAAAAAAAACATCTCTGAGGCCAGGCATCGTGGCTCATGCCTGTAATTCTAGCTCTCTGGGAGGCAGAGGCAGGTGGATCACCTGAGGCCAAGAGTTCGAGGCCAGCCTGGCCAACATAGTGAAACCCCATCTCTACTAAAACACAAAAATTAGCCAGGAGTGGTGGCTAATTTTTGGGATAATCCCAGCTACTCGGGAGGCCGAGCGGGAGAATGGCTTGAACCCAGGAGACCGAGGTTGCAATGAGCTGACATCGAGCCACTGCACTCCAACTTGGGTGACAGAACGAGACCCCATCTCAAAAAACAAACAAAACAAAACAAAATCTTCTCAGAGGACAAAGCCTAAAGTCTAAATAATGAACGGCTAGCGTTAACTGATAAGTGTCGCTTTTAGGAGAAATATTGGTATGTTGGTAAATGACAAAACTTTATTTTTATTTATTTATTTTGAGATAGAGTCTTGCTCTGTCACCTAAGCTGGAGTGCAGTGGCACAGTCATAGCTCACTGTGACCTCTGGCTCCCAGCTGAAGCAATCCTCCCACCTCAGCCTCCTGAGTTGCTAGAACAACAGGCATGCACCACCGCACCACCGTGCCACCACGCCACCACACCTGGCTAACTTTTAAAAATTTCTTGTAGAGTTGGAGTTTCACCATATTGGCCAGGCTGGTCTTGAGCTCCTGGGCCGAGGCATTCTGCCCACCTCAGCCTCTCAAAGTGCTGGGATTATAGCAGTGAACCACCAGGTCCAGCCCAAAACTTTATTTAGTGTAGGCGTCGATGGTATAATTTCTCAAATACTCACTAGGGGTGTGGTTTTCCTGCTTTGGTTTATGACAATTTGGGGTTTTTTTTTTTTTTAAACAGAAACAAGGGTCTCCCTATGTTGCCCAGGCTGGTCTTGAACTCCTGGACTCAGATGATCCTCCTGTCTCGGCCAATCAGTGTGTGAGGATTACAGGTGTGAGCCACAGTACCTGACCAAGGGAGGTCTTGAAATTACTGCATGTAAAGTAAGATACCATCCGACCTATCTATCTATAATATAACCAATGTAAGGAAGAACACCCACATCCACGCTTTTTTCTTTTTCAGGAATAAAAAGTCTATTTTGGCCGGGCGCGGTGGCTCACGCCTGTAATCCCAGCACTTTGGGAGGCC